TTGTCCCAGGTAAACATACTCGTCAACAACTTCGAGCTTAGTGCTCCCAACAACTACCGGCATAGGTGTGACATGGACATTAAACATGATCTTTGTTTTGTCCATGTTCATCTTAAGACCTATCCGTTGGGAAACACTATCGAGGTCATTGAGCATAGTGCTTAGGTCCTCCAGCGATTCTGCCATAAGGACTATATCGTCGGCAAATCGAAGGTGAGTGATGTACTCGCCATTGATGTTGATACCGTATCCTTTCCAGTCCAGAAACTTGAAAACGTCTTCCAATGCAGCGGTGAAGAGTTTCGGGGATATGACGTCACCCTGTCTTACACCTCTCTGCAATTGGATAGGTTTCGTACTCTGGTTCTGTACTCGGATAGCCATCGTAGCCCTACTGTACAAGCACTTCAACACTTCGATGTACCGACAGTCAACTTGGCACCGCTGAAGGGACTGCAGCACCGCCCAAATTTCGACGGAATCAAAGGCTTTCTCATAGTCCACATACGCCAGACATAGTGGCAAATTGTACTCTTCGGACTTCTGTACAATTTGCCGAAGGGTATGTATGTGGTCTATGGTGCTAAAGCCCTTTCGGAAACCGGCTTGTTCGGGAGACTGGAAGTTGTCAAATCTGCGCGCGAGACGATTCGTAATGACTCTCGAAAACAGCACGTAGACGCGGCTCAGAAGGGAAATCGGTCTGTAGTTCTTCAAGAGAGCGTTGTCACCTTTCTTGAAGAACAAGACCACCGCACTTCTGCTCCACGCCTCCGGTGTAATGCCACCATGGAGGACGGAATTAAAGAGCTTCTGAAGGACTTCAAGTACCGGTCTTCCACCCGTTGGTTTTCGGCATTACGTAAATATAATGTAGAATATTTTTTTAAGAAAACCTTTTATTATGTAAAAGATCCTTCGTTTTTGCCTTTGCAAGAATTAGATTGGAAAACCTGCCCTTTAAAAATCTGTAAGTTTCTAACTAGTGTAAATGTAATGCTTAACAAGGTCTTAAAGACGAATTCACACACTTTTTAAGGATTATTCCTTCCTTTTTTTAGACTTTATTTTAAAACCATAGCTTTATATACATATATCTTTAAAAATAATAGGGTAGAAAAACCATCAATATCATTAAAACGTATTTAATATCTGAATTAATTCCATACATTCCAACTCCTCTAGCGTGCAACTAGGTCACATTCTGATATAATATAATATAATTATACTTATTGGTTTCACTTTGAACTGTAAACACGCACAGCGTGTACTCAAAACAACTCCACTTTAGCGTTTCATATCAAACGCCATATTTTAGAATCAAACGTGAGTTTGGATGAAACAATTTTTTGCTTCGAATTCCAGACGATTGTTTGGAATATAATGCGAAACTGATGAGCAGTTTGTGGAATTCGGTACGATTGGTTCCGCAATTAATTTTTCATCGACATAATTTTGTATTTCTTACTTGTTAATTATTATCCATATTATTTGTACATAGTTTTCCCTTAGAATATTAATTTTGTATCAACTAAAATGAAAAAATAAATATTGAAACAGTTTTTTTTTTAAATTAATTCTGTAGATTTGTTTTCTTTACTATACAGCTAATATTATAAATATGTGTATATTACCAATGTTATACTTGAATAGCGTGTATGATAACTAATGTTATACTTGACATACACGCTATTATTATCATTCACTCGTAGCTTTTAGCGTATATTTGCAATCTAGCCTTAAATTTCGATTTATTCTGTATGTTTTTACAAGAATTCAAAGAATGAGATTATTTAAAGATCCCTTTTTATCCCAATGACGATACCTGTTAATGAAAATAACTTTTAATAATAATAAGTATGATCCGTTTAGAAGTAATATGCTTCATAAAATGGTCTTTTAGGTTCTCCACGATATTTTATTTTGTTACTTTGACACGACTCTCTTCAGGTATTTAAAAAAATATTGTTATAATGCTGCTATCCATAACCAGTCTGTTAAATTTGAAACCAAATTACTTTATGGATTATCACCATGAGTCAGTCGCCAGAAACTCCTCGTCGATCAAAGTCAAAGTCATCACTTCCTTATTCAATTTAGACTTGTTTATTGCTCTTATGAACTTCCAAAACTATATCACCGGTTCGCAAATACAAGCCCTTAGATAAGAATCGGCAAGCAGCTCTCGGGTCTTTTTTCATACCATCTTACAATTTTTTTAGAACTTATTTAATTATAAATTATCAAGCGGCAGGATCAGCAGCTTGCATTTGTTAGAAAAGTCCGCTTTTTTTGGATTATACGACTAATATTATAAACGTGAAAGTTTGTGAGGATGTATGGATGTTTGTTACTTTTTCACTCAAAAACTACTAAATGGATTTTAATGAAGCTTTGCAATTATATAGCTTATACATCGGAATAATACATAAACTATAATTCATAAATATATTGTGTAAATTGGCCAAAAACAAACGATAAATGTTAAGTAAGTCGGAAAAAAATCAGTCATCGGCGAGCTATTTTGGCGTGCGATGCAATAACTGTAAGTTAGACGAATATAATGTATGGTGGCATTGTTTCTCCTAAATAGTTCTACAGAAAAATCCGCGACAGTATATATCTATATTTTATGTGTAAGCCAAGGAGTAACTTAGGCTACTTTTATTCTAGGGTTCCGCGCAAAATAATTGCACGCGGGCGAAGTCGCGGAGAACAGCTAGTGTTAGCATAATTCATCTTTAATCCCTATCACCCTATTTATTTCAAATAGGAAAAATCAAATAATAAAAGACAAAATTTTCAATATGTGATCTTTAATAAATTAATAGAATAGAATGATTTTTATTCAATATTGATTATTACATAATACTTATTGAAAGTCATTTTTTATTTACCACTGGTTTGGAAAATACCTCTGTCCTAGGAAGAACCAACAAGAAACCCAGCGGGACTTTTTTTTCAATCATATTTCACTTAACAATAATTTCTTTTAAACAATTTTTAAATGATTTTTCATAGAACCAGCATGGTGGCGATCACCTTATTCTCAGGGGGTTATTTTCATTCATGTATTCCTTGATATTATAATAATCCTTTTTGTACATTTTATCTTTAATAAAACTTTTTAACTTGTTTATTGAAAAAATAAAAACTTTGAACATGTTTTGGGATTTTGTTGTAAAAGCGTATACATTGCCCCATAAAAATGAATTACTAATTCTGTGGAGTCTAGTAACTGGCATTACAAGCTTATGTTTGTTCCTAATGTTTAAGGTATGAACATCCTTATTCTTATTAAAGATATTTATGTTTTTATATACATAACATTACATTTTCATAAATATATTGAGATGCCGAAGTTAATATGTTTATTTCTTTAAATTTTTCTCTGAGGGACTCTAATAATTTCACTATCACAATACAAGTAATTGCAGGTTTTTGTTTTAGTATTATATTAATATTTAAAAGCCAAGGTAAAGCAAGCAAGTCAAATTGTTACATTTTTATAGCTTATGTCTTCGTACTTGAATTCAACGACGGTACGAACACGAATCTTCTATAAAATAATTACGAACACGTATTTCAGGATTTGTTTATTGAAAATTATGGTTAGTCCGACCTTGTGCCCGAACGTCTACATTGTTTATAATTTCAATCGTGGTGCAACGGTAAATTATTTTACTTATATCGTTCTTGCGACCATGTCAAGAGTTGAACTCGTTCACCTTCGATAGAGCTGGAATATACGTTGTAAGCCCTTTCGTACTGTCTCATTTCGTAGGCCAGCGATACCATTTTTGGCTATGTTACGAAATGATGACGTTATTTTTAATTTCATAATCATCGAGCTGTTTGAAAACAGAATTAATATTGGCCGATAGCATAAATTGATGTCGTCTTTGTAATTTTAAAAACTTTATTCTTAAAATAAAGTTATGGTGATAAAAATAAAGCTTGTAAACAGGAAAATTGTACGAAATCGTTGTGTAATTTAATTCGTGGTAACATTAATAAAATTTTAGCAACTATAAAATTAGATGAAAGTGTAAATAAATACGTTGATATGTTATAACATGAAATATTTCGCAATAGCTGTTGCGTTTCTTGGAATCAGGCTCACATCTGGATCACTCACAGGTGTGAAACAGTTGTTACTTAATGAGAATTGGAATTTTTCGTGGGAAATTCACTTGATGTAGCGGCCTTACATTGTTTTAATGCTTAAAATTAACGTATGATCTTAATTTTATTTTTAAATACTATGTAGGATGGTTTTGAAGGATAAATGTATCCAGATATTATTTATGCAATTTAGTTTTATAATAACTCTTTGTCATATTATGTTGTTTGTAAACATACCAAAGTATTGTTGTTATAGAACTTATAATAAATTTGTAAGCTGTATAAGCTGCAAAATAATACAACTGAATCAAAAACTTTTTATCCAGTATAATATAATAGAGAAGAATACAGTTTTTGACCGCTGTAACGTAGGCTGAAGCTGACGACCACAAATTTAAAGTCACCTAAACGTTCATTAATACATTAAACATTCAATGGTATAAACAACTTTGTTTTTACGTTCTAAAGATTAAAGTATTTGACTGAATAGGTCTCATAAATGTCTTCCACTTTAATTTTTCATCTAAATCTATCCTCAATAAAGAATTAGAATTCAGGCGTTGTCACCCGTGAGGACTAAGATGAAATGCCTCTCTTCCAGTAAAAAGGGTCTCCGGTTCTCTAGACTCACCATACGAAACACAGCAACATTAAGCTGCTATTTTACGCTGGTATTCTGTGAGAGCGTGGTCCTTCCCCTGTCGAGCCGACCCATTCGTGCTACAACTAATACTACTAATATAACTGCAGCATGACTCTACCACGTATAAAATAAATACATGTATGTACCTACATTTAAATATTTTTAAATTTGTATAGTAAGCCAACACATTAATTCCACTTCCTCCTAATGAAACATTAATTATTTACCATAGATATTCCCGACATCCCTGAGGACATCAAAAAACTGCGTGCGCTGCAGATCGCGGACTTCAGCAGCAACCCGATCCCGCGGCTGCCGGCCGGTTTCAGCCAGCTGCGAGCCCTCACCGTGCTCGGCCTTAACGACATGTCGCTCACCAGCTTACCGAGCGACTTTGGAAGGTTATTATTATTATTATTTTTTATATATTGCTTTACAATTAATGCACACGAAATATCTATTTAATGCCAGCAAAAATAAAAAAGTGTATAGGTGAAAGAGTTAAAGTCGTACTGCCGCAGCTCACAGTGGCAGACATGACTTGAATAGGAACTTTAAAGTTATTTTATGGAGAAATACAATAATATAATATATAAGCATAGGATCGTTTCTATGGGGTGTATGGAGCACATTCTATTATTACCGGAATACCTTGGGGTGGAGCAGTTAAGTCGCTTATTTCTATTTTCTATAGCTTAAAGATGTAATTGCATGCAAGCCACAAAGGTACCATAATATCGATTCATACATGGTTACGGGTATTTTAAACTTTAGTTCACAATAGGTAGTTATATCGACTTACTTCATTTTACAACTCCCATCCTGAATTTCGCATCCTCTTCCTGCTCCATCGTATTAGAGCTACCATAAAAAAATCTACAAATACCAAGAGCGAGTACAACTTTTTGTAAGCGCTTTCATTTTTGGTGCGGACCCTGGATATACAATGAATTTCCAGAACAACTTCTAGGTAACTCTAAATTAAAAAATAAAAATATAAGAGGCGGGTTAAAGAACTTTAATTACATACAAGTCTTGGGTCTACTAATGATAGCTAAGGCCATTATAACGAAAATAGTTTAAAGAAAACTCAAAGTAAATTTCAAATTTCTAATGTACAGATTTTTGTCATTTAAATGTAAACTCTAATTTTTATCTTATATTCTATTTTTTATCTTATATTATCATTTTTATTAGTTACATAATATCTATATTTGCTTTTATCAACATCCAAATATATACTGTGCATAAGTCTAAATAATATCAATACCCATTTAATATAATGTTTAAAATTCATACATCATACTACCCATTAACAAATTTCAAATTTTACTGACTGCATTGACGGCTCAGTAGCCTAGCCTATCATATTTTGTCAACAAGAACAAAACTAGTGTCTGTATAGCCTATAGAGTAGATAATTGATCCGGATCTGGATGTTTGTCTTTCAATTTTTGGTAGGTATGTGAAATGCCTCCACGATACAGGAAAAATCCTAATTTGGGTACTGTTTTACAATACTTACTAATTACATATATTTATTTTTAACAAAGTAACCGGAATCAGTTTGCCGTATCACGCTGCTTATTGAGGGTTATTACACTGCCTCGACAAAAATATATTTGTAATTAACGTGAGGAATTAAATAAATGATAAACTTTGCTGACAATGTCCCTGTTTAAAGCAAGGTTTCAGCTTTAATGGTTAACCGTTCCATGGACTTGTTTGTTGCTGGTCAATTAATAATCATTTTGTAAAAGTACTTTGTGTAGGTTCAAAAAAAAAAAAGAATACTGAATAAAATAATATTGTATATAAAGATTGATTTATTAATAACATAAATAAACTACGACATTGTTATTTAGCAAAGTTCCTGTCGATATTTACTGGCGAATCCGTAAAGTTAGCTGGAAAGTTACGGTGGGATCTTTGATAAATTATTTACTGAAGCTCAACTCGAATAGGAGTATTGATTGTTGAAATGTGTTATGATTACATTATTTCGACATTATTTTTCACAAAAAAGCAAACGACTCGGCTATTACAATATCGATACGAACGACAAATATACCGCAAGTTGTATTACGATTACGAATAAAGATACGAATGCTCTATGACATTTTCTTTTAATTTAATTTAATTTAAATTTAAATATAAAATTTTCAAGTTCTTGCCTATCGTGTGTTTCATGAATGAAAAAAGCTGTGAACCGAGATTTATTACAAAAGAATGTATCGTAATAAATACTAAAAAAACGGATATCGTAATATATTACGATATTCGTTTCATTACTAGTTTTATCTTTGGTGTATTAAGTGTTATAGTTTTTGGTAGCAATACTTGTATTAATGAAGTTTGTTAGATATATGGGTTCAAGTTCTCCTTTTGACTTCGCCGTTCCGCTTCAAATATGACTTACGTAATATCACTCATTGGTTTTATTTTTATTTTCATATCAATTGTCCGAGTTTTTTCACACTTCATGGTCATTTTAATAACTGTTGTAGCGATTCCTGACATGTAAAAGCTACCTAACTGTTTAGTACATTTAAAAAGCAATGCCTTCTCACAATTTACTTTCCTATTTGCTAATGTTTATGGATCGATGAAGCTATACGCGCTCAAGTGTGTGCTAGTGTGTGTATTAAAATTAATTTTTATATCCGGAATGCCTAGAACTAAAGTTTTATGGCAATAATACCAATTGCCAATACGACTTGCAAAAACCAAATGGCGATTGCTTGAAATTCATTCGGCAAACGTGTTACCTGTTAGTGTGTGTGTCGAGTTCTTTGTTTTAAAAAGCATTTGCATCTTTCCAATATTATGTAACTGTTTCGGATGTTATAAGTCAGAAGCACTCATTTATTTTAATCTTTTTTAAATGGCATAAGATTAAAAAAACTGAAAGTTTTTAATTTTTTATGTAACCCATAAGACATATTATACAGCACGAATGTCGGCTCGTCCGGGGTAGGATCACGCTTTCACAGAATACGAGCACACAGCAAAATAACCCAGTACGGTGAGTGTAGAAAAGCAGACATCCTTTTCGCTTATCTCATATCTTACTCCTCAGGGGTGACAACGCATCTGCAATTTAATTCTTAATCGAGGATATATCATCAGATGTTCTGCGAGCTCGCTTGTCATCCTTATTTTATATTAAAAAATGATAGCAGTGTAACAATCTCGTATGTAAAAATTCCCATATCGGCGATCTGGTGCAGGGTCAAGTGCAAAACGTCATAGTACCAAACGTTTCACACCATCTCCAATCCACCTGCCGAGCTACCCGTAATTCTTTCCTATCGTAAAATACCCCTTTTCACTACTTAATGTTGATAAAGAATAACTATATAGCTTGGTTTAAGCTTAGTTTATTACCGACTTATTATAAACGTTATTCGCTTAGCCACGGCGCCATGATCTGCTGCAGTATTCGCGATATTTGACATTTGCTGTTAAATTCCATACATTTATTTTAGATCACATCTTTCCGCGAGACTTTTTTTGCAAAAATAACACTGCGATTGTAAGACGGCATGTTCTGTTTATCTCAAAAGTCTCTTCACTACAAGTTGTGCTGTTCAAATTGCCGATATAGTTAAATAAAAGAAGATTATTTTTTAAGTCTAGAGAAATAAGCTACATCTGTTTTTTTATAGGATAAGCACACAGTCCACCTGATGGTAATTGCTTGCTGTGGCCCATAGACCTCTATATCCATCCTCATTTGCGAATAAAATGCAGATGCGTTGTCAGCCGTGAGGACTAAGATGGAATACCCCACGCAGTAAAAAGGGTCTCCGGTTCTCTACACTCACAAAACGAAACACGTCCGCATTAATCTGCTATTTTATGCTGGTATTCTGTTAGAGCGCGGTCCGTCCCCGGTCGAGTCGACCCATTTGTGCTACAACTAATACTACTAACATAGCTGTAGCATGGCTCTACCACGTATTGTATTCTATATATGTATGAGACATTTTTTTCGTATTGTAACACTCCCACGCCTCTCTCTACTTATTTTTGTCTTTCTTTAGAATCTATATCTATAAGATTTATAAATATATCAAATTTACGTGACCAGTATAAACCATATATTGATCTTTCTAAAGGTTTAAATATAGGCCGTTGAATAAATTTATGGCGTGATCGTCTTAGTTGGGACCCTTATTTACGTTGTGTACAGTTCTTTTAGGTGTCGTCTCTTGGAAGAATGAATATTCACTAGAGCAGCAGAAAGCTGTTGGTAGCGTGTTATGAGATAAAGAACCCGTTCACGAAGACATAGCTCAAAAAGGTTAAGAACAATAAATTGTTCCTATTCCACTTGTATCAGGTTCATAACAATCAATTTCTTATTAATGAACCCCTTCCCGCTTGGAAAAGGCTCACAATATTTATGTCAAATACCAGATACAAGGGCTTCGCTCTCCCACATTTTAAAAAAAATGTGGGGGAGGCTAACGACGTGTGCGGTGAGCGCCAATTAATTAACCGCGTTCCCTCCATAGGAGACGTTAAGTTGGGAAGACCGTAGTCCACAGCAAAATAACTGGTGTACCAGTAAAAGAGGGCTTGGTCCTTTGGTAGTGCATAAGCACAAACATTGACCGAAGTCGCGCATGTCAATGCGTGTAAACGCCATACAGAATACGATCAAATCCAGCCACAGTGAATGTACGTCACAAGGGTTAGGCAATAATAGGCACACTGGCCGTAAAAAGCCCTCCATGAGCGCCACCACACCTGCTAGACCGCCGTTCCTGCAGACGTGATGTAAGAGTAAGGCATCACTACCAATTGCATGATCAGCACGGCCAATTCGCTGCAGAGCGTGTCATGAGTCTACCGCTCACCTCAAGGGAATGTGGTCCCACGTAGTGCAGCTTTCGGCCGCAGCCTTGAGAGCCTCCTCAGATTCTCCCTCCAGCTACCACTCGCATGAGATCGACACATATGCACCACCAACCAATACAATGGCAGATATAGCCAATAGGCAGTTATAATATAATAGTAATAATTCGCCATCAGAAGGGGTTTGAGTCACTGACGTTGAGTATATGCATTTTTCGATCATGTTTGTCTCACCCACCAACAAGTTGCCTTTAATCATTTAAAGGTGGGAAATTTATAGAGATATATTATTATGTTGTTATATAAAACATCATGGAGGTCAGTCTGCAAAGCTACTTAGGTTGTGAGTCAAACCAAGACGCAGAGAGCGCCATTGAGATTAGCGACCCGCCAAACAACGATCGCAGAGACGCAATGCTGCAAAACGCAACAATTATCAATACGACTATCGTCGACTTACACCATCCCAAGGTCCCCCATAGTCCCAGCAGACATCACCACCCACATACCTTCATCGACCAGAACCACAAGATGCGTC